CCCCTACCTTCGGTTACCGGGGAAGCTCGGGGGTTCCCGAATTTTGCTTGCTTTTTTGGTCCAACCACAAATAGACAAATGAAACTATGAATGGAATTTCACGAGTTGCCCCCCCGATTACTTCACTTGGATGTTTCGGGGATGTTGGAACTGTTCGCCCCGAAACACGTTGCCAGTCACCACAGTTCGTGGATCGTTTTAGTGGTTAATCCATACATGATCAAAGCCCAGCCAAAGACTCAAACTAGATTAACATAGGTGACCTTCTGGAAAAACAGACGGCCCTGGTAAATGCCATTAAAAAAAAAAAAAAAACTGAACCAGTGCCATCTAGGTCTAACCAAACCTAACAAGGACAGCCATGTCAAGGTACTGGTTCTTGATTCCGGTGGTTCTCGATCGGATCTTCAAGGGTAGGTCCTGGGAACTCCCCCCCCCATCGTGGAGCGCCAAGAAAAAACGTCCCGTCGCGTGGATTGCCCAAAGAAGTCGGAACTTTGCGTGGATTACCCATCATTTGGCTGCCCCTCAGATCCACTCAATCCAAAAACGTTTGTTGCCCCTAAAATGGTCTTCCCGAAAAGTATCAAGTCCAATGATCACTCCCTGAGCCAAAGCAAGTCACTGCCATGATGCTCGGGAACCTCCCTTTCAACCGACCTCAGGAATCTAGTGGCTTCACAGAAGCGGGAACGCAGGCAGCAAACCCTTGGTGGTCTCTCTTTAAACCACCATGTAGGGGTTAGTTTTGATGACGTCACTTGAATGGACGTAGTCAGGCCCCATGGGGGGCGGGCAAAAGGTTGAACCTGGTCAATGTTCAACCCTAAACCTAGGAAGATGTAAGATATTCGGAACCGAATATATATATATATATACATATACATATATATATATATAACTATATATTTAACTATATATTTTACATGAACTATTCTACCCGCTCTGTGTATGTCTATAAAACATCATAAATCATATTCCGTGCATAAATGTTAACCTGGGTTGCAAGGGGACACAACTTTCGACACTGCCCGAGTGGATGGGCCCAAAAAAAGTCCGAACTCTAGTTAATTCCCTTCCCAAACCGTTTAACGTCCAAGACTAGGTCCTCCAGTAGAGTGGTTAGAATAAGGGTACGCTTTTTTCGGTAGTCTATTTTAGTAGGGGAACCCTCCCCGGGCACTACTGGGGGAGCTAGATTTCAGAAAGTGGGAAACACACAAAACAAAAACAAAACAAAAACAAAACACAAAAACGCCTCGCCTCCACTTTCACGAAGGCGCGGCGCCGGTAGCGCTGGCCCCCGTGGTGCTCGCAGCTCGTTGGCGCCCAATCTGCGGAGGCGGAGGCCGTCACAATGGGCTTCGGCTTGTGGTTCCTCTTGGTTTCCCTTCTAGGTCCTCCAGTAGAGAGCTTAGAATAAGTTGGTACCCGATTTGTTTTCTGTAGTCTATTTTCGTTGAACCCTCCAAAAAAGGGGCGAGAAAGGGCACCTAGCTGGGGGACCTAGCCTTCTACCCGTACCGAGTATTTGGGCTGAGGTCTTGGCTCTTGGTTTGGAGAGTCCATTAGGGAAAGCCTTGCCCCGGACAAGTCCGGCCAAGGAAACCCCGCTATCTCGTTTAGGGTTTAGGGTTTAGGGCAGGTCGTTCAGGGAAACCGGTCGACGAGCTTCCAGCTTGCCGCCCTCGGCAGGCAAGTTACCGCTGCGGGAAACGGAGCAGGGGAAGAGGTCCTGCCCTTTCAAGCCAGGATGTATTTTGCTGGACCAGACATGGACACCCTGAGCAAACTCTATTCGTTTCTGGTTGAAGGGAGAGCAACGGAACTGTTCTCGCTGGTTTTCAGCAGGACATCGTTTGAGGATTTTTGGCAATGAAAAGGGGATTCCCTTGAAGGCCACTAGTTGGATGGGTTGATGGGGGTCATTCCCTCATTCTGAAGAAATTACTATAGTTCACACACACTCAACCAAGGGACCTTCACCATGGGCTTTTGCCCGTTTTGCCCCCCAAATCGGTGAGCTCGTTGTACTGCTTCGAGCTCATTCCTTGGAGATTCCTCATTCGGAGCCTGCGTGGATCATCAGGCGCTCCCCAAAAACAACTGCAGCTCCCCCTCTAAAATTTTCAAAAGTGGGAGCCCAAACTGCGGTCCTGCCGAAGCAGGCAGCACATCTTCTTTCCGATCGCCGGGCCCCGAGCCGTTGCCGTTTCGGCCGCTTCGAGAAAAAGGGAGCCATTGGAAGGCGACGGAAGCCTCGAAGCGCCGAACATCACAGGCTTCGCATGTCGATCGTGAGGGAAACCGCTGCCGTTTCCACACGAACCGCCTCCCTTGAAAAGGGTTTCTACACCCGGGGGGCTGCTTATGAAAATCCCCACAAACAGTGGGCAGGCAAACCGTGACGCTGCAAGTCCCAACTTGTGACGGAGAGGTTTCGGGCGCTTTGAGAGCTCCCATCTGCCTCGCTGAGCGCATGCGCGCGAGAAACGAGCCTTTCACGATGCATTGGCGGAGTCGAACGCGTCAAACGTGCTGCTGTGAGCAGGATCAACTTGGCCAATTCAACGACCCCACATAACGGACACTGCCAAGATTGTGTGTGTGTGTCTGGTTGTCTGCTGCGTTGTGTGTGTGTGTGTGTGTGTGTGTGTGTGTGTGTGTGTGTGTGTGTGTGTGTGTGTGTGTGTGTGTGTGTGTGTGTGTGTGTGTGTGTGTGTGTGTGTGTGTGTGTGTGTGTGTGTGTGTGTGTGTGTGTGTGTGTGTGTGTGTGTGTGTGTGTGTGTGTGTGTGTGTGTGTGTGTGTGTGTGTGTGTGTGTGTGTGTGTGTGTGTGTGTGTGTGTGTGTGTGTGTGTGTGTGTGTGTGTGTGCGTGTGCGTGCGTGCGTGCGTGCGTGCGTGCGTGCGTGCGTGCGTGCGTGCGGTGCGTGCGTGTGTGTGTGTGTGTGTGTGTGTGTGTGTGTGTGTGTGTGTGTGTGTGTGTGTGTGTGTCTGTGTGTGTCTGTGTGTGTCTGTGTCTGTGTCTGTGTCTGTGTCTGTGTCTGTGTCTGTGTCTGTGTCTGTGTCTGTGTCTGTGTCTGTGTCTGTGTCTGTGTCTGTGTCTGTGTCTGTGTCTGTGTCTGTGTCTGTGTCTGTGTCTGTGTCTGTGTCTGTGTCTGTGTCTGTGTCTGTGTCTGTGTCTGTCTGTGTCTGTGTCTGTGTGTCTGTGTCTGTGTCTGTGTCTGTGTCTGTGTCTGTGTCTGTGTCTGTGTCTGTGTCTGTGTCTGTGTCTGTGTCTGTGTCTGTGTCTGTGTCTGTGTCTGTGTCTGTGTCTGTGTCTGTGTCTGTGTCTGTGTCTGTGTCTGTGTCTGTGTCTGTGTCTGTGTCTGTGTCTGTGTCTGTGTCTGTGTCTGTGTCTGTGTCTGTGTCTGTGTCTGTGTCTGTGTCTGTGTCTGTGTCTGTGTCTGTGTCTGTGTCTGTGTCTGTGTCTGTGTCTGTGTCTGTGTCTGTGTCTGTGTCTGTGTCTGTGTCTGTGTCTGTGTCTGTGTCTGTGTCTGTGTCTGTGTCTGTGTCTGTGTCTGTGTCTGTGTCTGTGTCTGTGTGTCTGTGTGTGTCTGTGTCTGTGTCCGTGTGTGTGTGTGCTTGAGGGTTCCGTTTTCGCCTTTGTTTCACCCGTGTCCAAAGCAACCCCACAGGAAAACAGAATATGTTCACTGTCCCCCCCTAGTTTGACACATCTCCATTTGTGGCCCTAAAGCATAAGCCCCCAATCAATGGTATGAAGGCTTTTCCGAGATGGCATGGGAACATTGGCTGCAGTTCCGTGAAATTTGGATCCAATTCGCTTCCCAATCCAACAATAGTCTACACACTTTGCCAGTCACTCATGCTCCAAATTTGACTATAATTCCGAAAGGTCAATTTTCAAGAGTAGAACATCAAATGGATGGATGGATGGATGGATGGATAGATGGATGGATGGATGGATGGATGGATGGATGGATGGAGGGAGGGAGGGAGGAAGGGAGGAAGGAGGGGCCTTTGGAACAATCCGAGGAGTTTCCCCAGCCTTCAATTGGAGCGTGAGTCTGCCCATTTTCTAGCCAGCTCACCTGGGGGGTAAAACGAGCTCACAATAATAAAGGTCCTCTTGGGGATCCCTCTTGTCAGCTGTTGAAAGGTTTTAATACAACACGAGCCATGAGATCCAACAGCATATGCAAATGTACCTTCCGAGGTTCGCGTTCGACTCGAGAGTGAGACTCGACGACTTCTTTTCGGGATTTGTGCTCGGCATATGTACAAGCCGCTTGCAGCGCCTGTTGGGGGAACGCAGCACCGTGACATGGTTTCTCGGGATCGCTTCGAAGGACTGTCCAAAACCCCTCCAGGCTATTGGTAGGCAAACCGTGGTTGTGGGCTCTGCGATACCAAAGTGGGCCATACCTATGACAGATTTCAGCTTAAGTCGGCAAATCCGACCCAGGGCAAAACACTTGTCTTCGTGTTCCCACGTGCAGGATTTCCCCAAGAGAATCACCAGTCAGAACTTTGGTTTCTGAAAACATGTTGCCAGGGTGGGGTGGGTGGGATGGGAAGGGATTACTGTAATATATGCACAATATGTATATATATATATAATTGTCTTATATCAGTCGTGATATATCATATCCATATCGTATATAATAGTATTGTATATCATACAATATAATCTTCAATTATATTCGTATGTAGATTGTATGTGTGTATATATATATAATATACAGACATATTTGTGAATATACCAGCAAGTTGCATTCCTCTGCTTTCCCATGGCCCGCCAGAGCCGGCCTTGCAATGAAGCTAAGGAAGCGTGGTCAAAAAAAGGGATGGTCCATCCAGCAAAAAACTCTGATCCAAAAACACATTTTCCCACAACCATGAGAGTGCGTGTCTACAAATAGGGGAACCGGCTGTTGTCTCATTTAGCCAACCAAAAAGGACACAACAAAACACAATAACCAAACAAACCCAAAAAAACAAACCAAACAAACCAAACAAACCAAACAAACCAAACAAACCAAACAAACCAAACAAACCAAACAAACCAAACAAAAACCTTCTCCATGCCGCCATTCCCCAGGTCAACCGCTTTGAGCGAACCGCTCCGAGCAGTTTTCGCTTCGGCTGCGCGGGCGCTCGGGCGCTCGGTTCGGCGCTCAGGCACGGGGGCTCCACGTGCCTCCCAAGGGCCTCGGGTGGGGTTCCGCTTCCGTGGAGTGGTCTGGAACAAATACGGTTAGACAGCCAGCCATGGGTTCCATCTTACTTTAACTGCTGGTTTCTCAGCGACAATGGGCTCAAGGCTTAAAAGCCCAACCAGGGAGTGCGTGCGCAAGAAGCAGCTGGATCGGAGGACTCAGCGTATGTTTCTCAAACAATTCACAAGAAATCCGCACAAATGGTCGAAGCTGCTGCCTTCAAGCCGATCGCAAGCTGGCAGGGCAGGCGAACGTATACAAAAGAATGATGGGGACACAAAGCGTTCACCCCTTTTGTGCGTTCTTCTTTTTAACTCTGTTTTTTTCTCTAGCCATCAGGGCTCCTTACCAACCACTCGGCGCTAGTGTAACTTGTCTGGATCTAGCACTTGCCCAGCTCTCATTGCGAACCCATTTTGATGTCGTAGTATGCAGTCAGTCCTGGTTACTTTCGTAGGATCCTTCTGGTTGTGTAAATTCCCTATTTAAAGTTCATGACTATCCCTAGTTTCTCCGAGTGGGACAGTGTTTTGACCGAAGTGTGTTTTCGACCATGAACGGACCGAATACTGGCACAAGAGCGGAAATTTGATCTTGTGGTAAAGGGACAAGGGTGTCATTGCATACTGAAATGTGCTGGAAACAGGTACTAAACCCTGGCTGCTATGATCATGCCTCAATTTGAGTTTGAGGACGCCCTTACCGCAACATGACCCTGTTGCACCTGCCCGAAGGATTGGGGTGATTGGGCAAATCAGGTGAACAAACTAAAGAAAGCAGTGCCAACACTTGGCCAGACTTGGCTTGGCCCACATCTGGGATACACAGAAAATCACATGTTCAGAACCTGTTTCATATTTAACTTACCCTGAAATATAACATAGTTTCAGCGGAAACCCAAAGCATTGTCATTCATATTCGGCGAAACGGATTTGCCAAGTAGACTTTTGCCAATCCAACAAGGAGAAGGAGCACGCGGACATCTCAAGCCATGGTCTCTATAGTATGCAAAACAGGCGTGCAGACATGTTGGAGGACGCCCCCTGCAAAAAAAAAAAAAAAACATTTCAATTCGAGGGGTCCAACTTGATCCACGGGAAACCGGCCACCCCCTTGCGACTGCGGCTTTACACAGCGAACCTCGCCTCTCTTGGGGTGCTTTCTACAACACCTTATTTGCAGCCAAGCGGGTGCAGTGAGAGGGCGGGTTGGATGACATGAACAACCCTACAGCCTACGGCCTTGACCCCTCCTTCTTTTCGGGATTTCTTCCCTTCATTGTCATATTGTCATGACTCAATCTGGTTCAGTACGGCACATCCCCATTCCAACGAAAGTGAGCCACGTCCCTCGCTTGGGACCCGCGGCAGCGGCATGGTGTGATACCCCGAGACCGGTGTCGGCCTCGACAGGTCGCAAACCGGGCCGGGATATTGACACATGGCCCCCCAAAACACCCAAAACCTCACAAGCTCTTGCAACTGCCATGGGAAACCCATGGGAAAACCATAGACCATGGGATTGACAAAAGGCCCAAAACATCCCAAAACGGAGCTGTGGTTGAAATGGAATCCACTTCTGTGATACAACAGAAAGGGATTCCCAAAGACTAACCCCCCATATAGAGGGGAGATTCCCGAAGACATCACAGACGTGGAGATACACCCCTCACAAGCTCTTGCAATTCTCTGCAGAAAAAGACACCCAGGCCACGTGAATGTTGCTTCCTGATTCATGAACCCCTGCTAATTCACATGGGGGTGCCTGGGGATTCATCACTTTTGGAGGGGAACACCCCCGTATTCATAAACTGGGGTTGATTAATATGGGGTAAACATTACTGTGGTTGTTGAGCACAAGAGCCCGCACAAAAAGGGATACGGTTCGTAGAGATACCAGTATGAGGCCAATTGACCAGAGTTTAACAACTGCTTGCAGGTTAGCGGAGAAGCACGAATTGTCTTAACAAGTCAAAGGTTTGAAGATCCAACTCAAGACCAGCCAAGGTAAGGTTCTTCAGGGAAAAACAGGGACTAGGGAGGAAGGAAACCTGTATTTCCAAGAAGCCAAAATCACATGAAACATACATTCATTTCCTGAGCGGCCTGCTGCAATATTTTTTTGTTGGGTGAGCGCCTTCAAAGCTGTCCCCTTACAGTAGATGACGGCGAAAATGGATCGTTTCCCATTTGCCCCTACCATTGTCTCTTAAACACACTGTCACACATGAATGGCGACAACAAATCAACTTCCTCCAAAACGCGTCGATCTGTAGTTGGGGGCGGGTCAATATTAAACCACCAGGGGACTGCAGATGATAGTCCATGTGTCCATTTACCAGGGTTCCATTTTGGGTACCTATGTTTCACCCACAGCCATTTGGGTATGAATCCAATTGGGGACCCTTTGAAGGACATCATTTACTTGGGAACTTTGTGTCCTCTCGCCCATTTGAGTTTGATCCCCATGAGTTCAATTCGTAGCCCCCCCCCCGTTTTGACTGTAGTGCCGAATCATTGGAAGTCATAGCACCCCCTTCCTTTTGAGTCTGTTCCAACCATTGGAAAATCACGGCTACGTACCAAAATCGGGTGAACCCCCAAAAAGCTTCTCCTTGCGGCTTCACTTGTGAAACAAACTAAAAAGCATACCATCAAAAAGCCGCGAGCCCACTAGGTTCTCTTTTCAGGGGACCCCCCCAAAACGATGGAGGTCCTTTTCCTTCCAAACCACCCAAAAAACCACGGACGCTCCTCAGATCCCCCGAAAAGTGAATCACCTTTAGTGGGCATGGAGGAATCCCAGACACTCAGCGGCTGAAACAACCCCAAGGCCCCCAGGAACCGGATCTCACGCCACAAACGCCCGCCGAAACCCACGTGGCGCCCAACCCAAAACTCCCAGCGCCCCATCCCCCCGGCCCCAAAAAATTCCCCCCCCCCCCGCGCATGCGCGTGGGCACTGGCGGACTGGGCGGTGCTGTGGAGGTGCCTGATGGCGCCCCGAAGCGAAGGCGCACCCGGCGGCGTGACAGGGATCGGTGCCCAGAAGGATCTGAATCAAACGGGCCCGCCTCACAGAAAGTTGGACCCGGCTGATATGGACCAGAAATATGGGCTGAACATATGGAACTTCCCCAAGTCATCAACCCCAAGATTGTCAGGTGTCCAACTTTCTGGGTTCGAGTTTGGTCCCTTTGACTGAAGGCTGAAGGGTAGACGAAATATGAAGCAGAATCTGTTATGGAAACTCCGGAGGAAGAACAGCACAAGGGTAATGGAATCTTTTCTTAGCGATTCCTGGATCCTTTGGCACAAAAAGAGACTTTTGCGGGGGACACTGTGGATGGACGACACGCTACACCACTTTGAAACCATGGTTGAAACATGGTTTGTTGGTATTTTCGCAGGGGAATCGACTCATTTCCTTGGGTTTCTTAGAACGATGGTGAAATCGAAATGGATTTCGCAACCGTCCACAGTATGACAGAAGCAGAATCCATCTAAACTCTCGCAAGCCCACGTCTCCAAGGCTGGCCCCACGACGCAAAAGTTCCGGTCAGCCTTGAGCCCCTCAAAAGATGCATCCAAAAATCGCCTCACCAGAAAACGCTCCAAGACCGGATAAATGTGGGAGTCTCAAAATGACCCAGATGTGTCATTTGAGCAACAAAAAGGAGGGGTATGTTGGAACACACTCCTTTCTTGCTTCTGTCGGTGTGGATGAAGCCACCAAGGTTTGCGCCACCATTTTGGGGTAGGTGCACCGCCCATTTTAGTCTATTTTAGTGGGGATTGGCATGACCCATGGCCATATTGTGGGTCTATACATCCCATCAAACGCCAAACCTCGACTGGTCGTGGTTTGGCAGTCCATCAAAGTAACATCCTCAAACGATCCTCTAAGTGGTAAGTTTCAAAGACCCCCGCAAGAAACTTTGAGAATCCCTTCAAGTGCAACAGGCCCCAGCTTGGAATATATACGAGAACCCACTTTACAGCCACCGGGTGTTTACAGTGTCCTACTCACCTGGTATCTCTTGTGAATCAAGTTCTGAATGGCAAATTTGGATCCCACTGGTTCTGTATCTCATGGTCCTGAATGGCTGATGTGGATACCCCCAGTTCCTTGAGGGATTCCCCCAGTTCCGCAGCTCCCCTCTAGCCGCCCTCCCTAAAACTCTTTAGGGTTCCCGGATTTGCCAGGCTTCCCTAGCACTTCCTCAGGGTTTCTTAGGGTTCCATAGGGTTCCCTCGGCTTCCCTGGGGATGCTTAGCATTCCCTGGGCTTCCCTAGGGATCCCTTAGGGTCCCCCAAGCCTAGGGATCCTTTGGGTTTTCTAGGCTTTTTGTAGGGATCCTTAGGGTTCCCCAGATCCCACGCCGCCGCGCCTGTGGGCACGGGCATCACCTGCCGCGCCTGCCGCGCCAGGGGCTCCACGCCGCGGGGCGACGCGACGCCGCTCAGCGCGAGGCCGTGGACGCGGACGCCGCTCTGCCCGCCTCGCGGGCTCGCGGACTCGCGGACTCGCGGGCGGCAAGGGCGCGGGAGTGGACGGAGCCCCCCCTTTGACGAGGGAAACGGAAAGGGCGCGGGAGTTTGGAACCCTCCCATAGAACAGGGATGAACGTGCAGAAAAGCAGATCGATCGCTTCAGATTCAGCTGCAGCTGCAGATTTAGTCACTGTATCACGAGTATGGGGTTGGGACCCCAAGGGTAGAACTTGGCCCCGGGTCTACAGAAACCACACCCAGTTTTGGAGCCGCTGAAAGGATGGGCCGAACCCGTCCAAGGACGGAGTTCCAACGGCATGGGGTGGTACTTTTGCAGGGTGATGTTGACCCCATATGAGTCAACCCCAGTTTATTGGCTGGGGGGTGCTTCTCCCTGGGTTTTGAGGGTTTTGGAGGGGCCCCCACCCCCCTAGTAATGAACTGGGGTTCAAGCAATTATTAGGAACCACCCCAGCCAACAGAACCGGTTTCATACCAAGCTCACAAGTGAAACAAGCCCAACTTGAAGTCTTCGGGCGGAGGAGCCTATTGGAAGCTCTGGCTGCTTCGGTGCCTCCGCTGCAGCTGATAGCGATAGGGCAGGTGGACAGCCGCCTCGTCGGCGCGCCGTCCGTGGCCACCTGGTTTTTCTCAGGAGGGGAGAGGAGGCGGGGGCGCTTCCAGGGCAATTGATTCAGCTTCCACTAGTTGGTTCTTTTTGGTGGTTAGGGAGGGGGTTTCCCATTGCTTGGTGGTTTTGATCAAAACCACCTGGGGCGTGGATGAAAATAGGGGCACCCACAAAGACGGATTCGATGTTCCGCTTGACTTTTCTCTAAACCAAAGCAAGCCCAAATCGGCCACATAGGCCAAATGTCTGCTCCGGACGAATCTGAAGTTTGGCTTCTGTTTCTTCCTTCTCCTGTGGCAAAGCAGCCCCACAAAACAGCTCCTGAGAGTGGCGCTAGATTCTCTTCTTTGTGGTTCGTTGAGAGTCCCCATACCCTCTAAAACATCTAAAAGTCCAAGGCATCGCTGGGCGCCAAACCTGGGCTGTCCGTTTTCGGATCCCCCACGAAAAGTGACATTGTTTTAGTGGTTTTTATTGAAAATCCAACCACTAAACACGAAGAAGCTAAAGAGCTAAGGGGATGACTAGGGGCCCCCAAGAAACTATGGTCCTTGTTTTTGCGGGGTACTGCCCTGCAGATTAACATCCAATCCCCTACACCCAAACAAGGGAATATAATAATACCAATAATAATAATACTAATAAAAATAAAACACAAGGGGAACGGGGAAACATCAGCAGGGCTGCCCTGACAACCGCCCACCACCGAACAAGTTGCCGCCCCGTTTTGGGCTTCGGACCCCGCTGATGAAGTTCTGCAGCGGGCCGTGCTGCTTTTGGAGCTCCTGCGAGAGAGCGGGTCCTTTTGATCCCCAGCCTTCAGGAAGGGGTCCCCAATTTCCCATTTGTCTAGTCTTCCCTCAAAAGGGAACATGGAACCACAAATGGAGATCTCCAGAATTCACCCCCCCCTCCCCAATTCCATTTTTTGAGGGGGTGGGGATGTGTCTGGGTCCATTCAGGAAAACGCTGTGTTCCGGGGCAGAAAGCCATACTTTCAAGAGGGGCACCAATCACATGGTCGACGACACCAACAACTATCCGCTGGAACGCGTGAAATGGCTCAGGGAGGTCCCTCAGAAAGGAAGTCACACAGGAGCTGTCCCAGCCTTGTTGTAAGCAACAGACGTCCAGATTTTGCAGCCAGCCACTCAAAATGATGAGAACCCAACAACACAAAACAAAAACCAATGTGCACACCCAAGAACATCGGAAACTATGGGTGGCTCAAAAATACAAGAGCTAGGGTTACGCAGGACTTAGTCGTTGATTCCATTTACCTAGGGCTCATGTTGGGTACATCTTTTTGAGCCACAACCATATAGGGAGGTCTTTCCTTTGGGCTCAGCCACTGCGGGGCCGCCTTTTAAAAAAAAAAAACAACCTCAGCTCGCGCCCCCACCCAGAAATAAATGTTTAACAGTCCACTCCATATGGAGAGAGCGGGGAAAAAAGTCGGCACAAGACGGTCCCAAAAAAGGGGGCAATATTTGTTTGACCCAGAAAATATGCTTAAACCACTGCTCGCCCAGAACAGGAATGTGTTCATTGGAATACGCATGTATATCCATGTATGTATGCTTAAAAACACCAAGAAACAAATAGCAATTTGGGCCAAGCCTTCTCATTACCTTCCCGCGATGCTGTACGAAATCGTCCAAGTGCAGTCCACATTACTCGCCTGTAGAGGAATCTTTTTTTGGGGATGATCGCCTGTTTGGGTTCCGTTAATTCTGCTGTGAATGGACAAAATCCGTTCGCACCGCTGTGAAACCATTGTTTGTTGGTAACTATTTACAAAGGAATCAGAATCATCCTTCTAGGGCTTCTTCGGTGAAGGATTTCGTCCCTGCGCAGTATTTGCAGGGGACAGGGCAAGTCGCTCCGGGTTTGACAAAAAAAAAAACGACTGCCGAAGCCATGGCTCTGGGGTCAAACGGCTGAAGGCAGAAGAACCGTTCAACCAAATCGAACAGAAACCACGCGAGCCAGGTCAAACTCCCTATGAATGTGGGACATGGTCATAGTTCCCACAAACGGGAATCTGTTGAGTGTCAAAATTCTCTGAGGGCTGCCAACCCCAAGTAAAGGGGTACTTCGACCATGGCGCACATGGAGGTTTCTTGGAACTTGGGGCCTGTCCGGATGGTCAGCGTTTTGGTTCCCCAACAGCAAGTCAAAAAAGGCTGCCCTGCCTTGAGCCGGATCCTAAACTCGGGTGACCCTGAAAGGCTTCTGACAGATTTCTAGGGTTTGATTCCCCATTCTTTTCGACCATCGTTCTTTTCAACAACCGGCCGTTTCCCCTGAGTCTATTGAGATCTTTTGGAAA